GACATTTAAAACAAGAAGTTTGAAGGGAAAGGCTGTAAGTTTTTGAGGGAGGTGGGCTACATCGTCCAGTTCTGGGTCGCCCACGGAGCAAACGGTCCAGATGCAACCATCCGGTTCTGCAAAAAATTTTGTGGCATCAAAAAATTCTGACGTGGATAAAAAGGGGTAGGACTTGGGGGAGGGAATGACGGGCAGGTAAACTGGTAACTATTGTTAGCTAACTTATTTTCAGATGGAAATCCGCGGGGCAGATACTGCAACACATTTCCGCCGGAACGAAACTGAGGATCGGATGAATTACCTGATTCAGTATGGGCATTATCATGAGGAATAAATTGGTAAAACGGCCGTGGAGGAAACAAGTTAGGGGGTGGGGGACGCATTGTTCCCATTGGAACAAGAGGTCTATTAAACGGTGGGAAAATCGGCATATTCGGCCTAACTGCCTTGATATGAGGGCTGGGGGGCAGTTGCGAACCCGCTACGTTTTGAGTCGGGGTATTTGAGGCACCGTTAGCCGATTGTGGAGGAAAAGATTTTATAATGGTGCTGGATTTATTGGGTGTCCGAGTGGCTGAGACAGCAATTGGATTTGCCTTTGAATTAGACACATGCTTAGGCTTACTAGGGGTTGCTGAGGGAGTCGATAGAGGCGTGTTTATACCAGGCGTGGTGGTGTGTTTTAAGAGGTCAGCATTAAAAGTAGTCGAACTCCCTACGGAATTGACTATGCCGTGACTTGCAGATGCCGCAGGCGGTGTTGTAGAGGACATATTCAGACTGACAGTAGGTGTCATTATCTTGGTGTTGGTTTTTGCCGATTTTAGTTTATTCAGTCTTCGCTGCAGGGGTGTGAGGTCTGGCGAAACGGAGACGCGCCATTTACGGCAGAAGTCTCTAGTCATCTCCCTACTCGACAAGATAAAATCGACTTCTATCATGGAGAAAAGGGTAACTAATATCGGCGCATTACGGCTAAGCGAGCGAAGTCGCTTAGCTTGTGCGACACTGAAACTCAAGCCACAACTTTGTAGGAACAAATGCGCTCCCTCCATAGCAGATAAGTGGCTCGGAATGTTTCGCAGTACGAAATTATGCTTGCGTTTAATTCGTTCCTCAGTTTCCGAACTTATTACCCCAATAAGTTTAAAAGCTTGTTCAAGCACTTTTTCAGAAGTGCTGTTTATGTCGCCATAAATCAGCTGATCGATTATTTCGCCGGCTGATGGCCTGCTACGACTAGCAGAGGCGTATTTTTGGACGACTAAAGGGTCGAGAGGTTCTACATGTACTAAAGGGATTTGTGAGTTATTCAGATCTGCAGACGCGAAGAACATACGCTGGCACCTGCTATGTCTTCAGTCACGATTTTAGCACCCAGAGACGGTAAAGAGGCCGCAAGCTTTCGCCTTTTAGCACGTGATCTGCGGGGCATTACAGACAGAAAAAGTTTTTCGTTACAGAAGAAGGATCAAAACGTTGCCAACGTACGGAAAAGCGCACTGAATAGCAAGTATTACTGTTTTTTAACTACGAAAACAAGAAAGCGGTAGTAGGGAAAGGATTCACTACAATGGATTTTTTACAAAATACGACTATTTTGCCAGACTGTCAAACAAACTAGGAAAAAATTTTACCTTATATAGAAAGGCGACTTTTAAAACGGACTCAAGTAAAAAGCAGGCATTAATTACTTAAGAATATCCAGATAAATGCAGAGCTTCACTTATCTTTGAAATTGAGCTGCGCGCCTTGTGCGTTGGTTGAAATATGGCGAACGGCCACCAAAATACCTCCGCCTAAATCAAAGGCCGGCATAAAAGCAACGTCGAGGGTAATTGCGATGCCAGGATACTTGATTAATCAGGCGGTCAGCAAGCATAGTTTGCTGCCAACACGAGTGGCGAAAATCATATTCGTACTGGAAGATTTTCGATAGGGATGGGTGAGGGGAAGTGATATAAGAGGTTTGGAAAGGTGGGACATTGGATAATGGAAGATTGAGGGGTAGGAATATGGAAAACGGTATAGTTTTGTCCTTGAAGCACATTCGACGGCTCTTTTGTGACAGCAGTCTTGACCCAATCGACTTCGATCACTTCCTCCCTGTCACCGCGAAGGATTCAGTAGGTCTTGGCTTTGCGCTAGAGCACGCGGAATGTTCCTTCGCATGGTGGTTCTAGTGGCTTTCGCACAGAATCGCAGCGGACTAATATATGAATACAGTTGCTGAGGCCATTTTCGACTTATCGCTCAGTCGGTTGATTTCGAAGCGGAGCCGGAAGAACTGAATGCACGATTTGCCGCAAACAATGCATAAAATTGTCAACTTTCATCTGAAGTCTCAGGGTAGGGCCAAACACGGGTTCGGCCGCGCTGTAGTCCAGACAGGACTGTAGTGCCAAACGAATGCCTAGAAGCGCAAGAGCAGGTTGTCATACCAGTTGGTTGGGCTCCCTGCTGCACGCAGGGTGGTCTTTAACTGGTGGAGACGCCAATCTGCACTGCTAACTGCTGGATGGTAGATCGTCGTCCGAATGCACTTGCAGCCAAGAAAGCTTAAAACGATTTGAAAAACGACAGATATGGACTGGATCCCTCGGTCGTTCGTAAATGTGAAGGCGATGCCGAAAATGGCTGTCCAATGAGCGACAGAAGCCTGAACTATGGTATCCCCCTATACTCGGCGAAAGTGTAGATTCAGTCCAGCGGGTGTACCGACATACTCAGGAACTGAGGTGAATGAAACCCTTGGATGAAGGCTAGGGACCTACGACATCGAGATGCACATGGCTGAACCGTGCGCCGGGGCTTGGTGTGGCGCAGCACCATGTCCACTGGCCACTCAGAGACGATCGTGTCCAAACTCCAAAACCACTATTGAGTATCCTAATTAAGAAAGGGAAAGGCGCTTTGCGTAACACCGCTTGGTCAAATCGATGAGAGTGTGCATCAGGTGCCTGAGTACAATACTGCGTTCTGTTAGTCTGTAACGGTTGGTAACTCTCCTATCGTAAGATTGCGCACACGTCGAATAATCATGGTAGCAGCTCCTTCATTCTGTGCATGAAATGAACATTTCGGAATATGTACGAAGGTGACATCGGCGTCGTCAGCTCAGTCTGTAATGTCAAGGCAATGGGAAGGGTGAATATGCACCAAAGGTCCACCCTACTGCAGAAGCAGTGGTTCACAGAACTTGCAACCATGACAGTTATGGGGACAAAGTAAAAAGGGTATGACTTCGTTGAACTCGGCCGTAAGATCGATCTGAAAGTATAATACAAAAACCTCTGTATCTGAAATGAGTATTTGGGAACAGCAGAAGTTTGTCCAGCAAATCTTCATCCGACGACGAAACAGGTCAGAGGATGAAGTCGTCCTAGCATCGCATGCAGATATTTCAAGAAACCTCTCGGTTGAATGCCAAAGCCAAGAAGGTAGAAAACATGAAAGTTGGCATGGTTAATGCTGTTGACTCATTTTTGATTCTTTTCCAGAGTTTTGACAGCGTAGTCTGTTCTCAACTTCTCAGTTCGCTGTCGCGTTTTCCACATCTTATAAGTTTTAGTTCGCTACAGAATTTATTTTATCTGGGTTTAGTGCCTACGTCTTATCTTTCGTTCAAACGCTGGTTCTCCGGTATCACCGTTTTATATTTCTGTGGAATGTCTCCCTCGCAATCTGTCCTGCCTGTAATTCCTCATTTTTAGCTTCCTGCTGTACGCTCTACTACTTTGGGGTCCACTGTCTGTGAAAACTCAGTTAGGAAGCCAAAATGGTCAGGTTCCATATTTTCTTGATGCGTCTTACGGGTATGG